GAAGCTATATATAGGGTTCAGGGGTGAAAAAAATTTCTCAATAAGTTTCTCAATAAGTTTTTTTTGCTTCCAGGGTTCAAGCCCCCAAGCTCCAAGATTCCCGGGTCCAAGCCCCCAAGCTCCAAGGTTTTCGTGTCCAAGCCCCCAAGCTTCAAGGTTCCAGGGTCCAAGCCCCCAACTCCCGGGTCCAAGCCCCCAAGCTCCAAGGTTCCCGGGCCCAAGCCCCCAACCTCCAAGGTTCCAGGGTCAAGCCCCCAATTCCCGGGTCCAAGCCCCCAAGCTCCAAGGTTCCCGGGTCCAAGCCTCTAAGCTCTAAGGTTCCAGGGTCCAAGCCCCCAATTCCCGGGTCCAAGCCCCTAAGCTCCAAGGTTCCAGCGTCGAAGCCTGCGCTGGCGATTGGCATCTGGCAGCTTTCGGCGTCTGCACCTGACCAGTAAGGACAGAAAATTTGCAAGAAAACTGGTGCCACAAACATATCAACCTGCTTTGCCAATGGCCATGCTGCTATTGCAAAACTTTTTTTGACGCTGCGTACCTGTACTTGTGTCTTTTGCAACGTGAACAACCTGCTATCTGTGCATGGCTGTGCTGACGTGAAACTTGAAACAGCTTTGTATACACTATACGGTTCAGACTTGTGCTGGCAAATCAGAAGGCGCCCTCACAGCATAGGTTGGGTGCAGCAGCAAAGAAGCGCCAAACTCCTCATCAGTGATCTGCTCGGTCCCGCATCCCATGGAATCCAGCAGGTAGATGTGGCCGTCGGGCTCCCAGCAGTATGCCACCCAATGCCGGTTCTGCCAGTTCTGGATGAAGGAGCTGGCGCCATGGGCTTGCTCTAGGTTCTGGACCGGGTTGTCCATGTCCAGGGCCAACCCTTGTGCAAACAAGGCGGCGTAAAGGACTTGCACTGAATACCAGCCGCCCGGGCTGGAATTTGCACCAGCAGTTCGGCACTAAACGAGGAGGTGCTCAGGTGATCCCAATCTCTTTGTGTTTGTTTTGGAACAAGTGCTCATTTCATGAAAATGCACGAACATGCCGACTCATGCCCTAGAAAAAACAAGATGGAGAACCCACGAACCCGAATGCAAACACGTACTCGAAAACAAACAACCACACAATTTTTGACACTCTTGTAGGAGACACTCTTGTGGTAAACTCTTGTAAGACGCATTCTTTGCGGAAACCTTTGTATGACACTCTTGTGGGACACCTTGCATGACACTCACTTTGGGGCATTTTTGCGGAACACTCTTGTAAGACACTCTTGTGGGACACTCTTGTAGGACACTCTTGTGGCCCTCCTGCGGGTCACTCTTGTGTGACACTCTTCTTGTAACACATTCTTGTGGGTCACTCTTTTGGGACACTCTTGTATGGCATTCTTGTGGGACACTCTTGCGAAACACCCTTGTAGGACACACTTGTGCGACATCCTTGTAGGACACTCTTGTGTGACACCCTTGTAGGACACTCTTGTCGGACACTCTTGTGGGACACTCTTGTGGCGTACTCTTGTAGGACACTCTTGTCGGACACCCTTGTGGGACACCCTTGCAGGACACTGTTGTGGGGCACTACTACTAAAGTCTTCAATTGTAAACCGTCACGTTTTCAAAACGAGTTCGAACGAGACCTCCTCCAAAAGTCACATGTCAAGTCTGCAAAAGGAGCATTTCATACGAGACTTCTTCCAAAACAAAACAAGCGCTTCGCACGAGACTTCCTCAAAAACTCACACTTAAAGTCTGCAAAACGAGCGTTTCGGACGAGACAATTTCAAAAGTCGCGCGTCAAGTCTCCAAAAAGAGCGTTTCGCACAAAACTTCCTCCACAAAAGTCGAGCGGAAAGCCCCATGGGAGCACACACATCAAGCAGCCCTGCCAAGCAGTTTTGCGATTCCAGCTCCTCCAAACAACACCCGCTCACACGCCAATCCCAATGTCACCGCGACATTCACGAAACTTTGCGCGTCCACTGGCGTCCACACCTCCAAAGTACTGCGCCTGCCACGAAATGTGACCTCCTCCACACCTCACAACCACACGATTCCCTGCGCCTGCCACGAAAAGTGACAATATCATATCATGTTAGCTTCAGCAAGATTTGCACCACATCACACGTTTGGAATGACTTCGACAGGTTCTGAGCACACTCCCATCCACCAGAATCAGCTTGTCACGAAAACACAGCTTCGAAGCAACAGCCTGAAACGCAAATCCCAATGTCACAGCCACATCCAACAGACCAAAAACACCACCCTCCACACGCCAATGCAAATGTGACTGCGCAGAAAACTCACCATCTCACAAAACGCTGCCCCTGCGCAGTGATTTCATCCTCCACACTCCCTCACGTTTCCACACGTTTCCTCGCTATTTCACACGAATCTGACACGTCATGCTTCCATCCAAACCCTCTCCAAAGCTTCCCCCAATGTCAGCGCCATAGCGCTCCACCTGTGGTGCAAGAATCGGTGACCTCTTCACTGGAGCAATCCAACATTTTTTGTGGAGGCACACCCATTGGACCCATGTTCACGCCATTCACCGATTCGCTCCTCAGTTCGCGTTCTGCCTCCCTCCACCCCCTCCTGGTGACCTGCACCTGTCCCCGCTGCGGGAGGCTGAAATGGCCACAAAGACCCCCCATCCCGCCGCCCATCCTCCAGCCTCGACCGGTCCGGTGCGCCCTAAGGCTCCGGACGTCACCGGTCTGGAGGCGCTCCTCTCGGTCCTCTTGGCCGATGTCTTTGAACCTGGAGGGACGATCTGGCTGGGCTGGGTGACCACGGCGGGACACGCTCCGCAGCTGTTTTGGGGACGTAGAGATGACATGAGTCTGACAACTGGGTGCGGGATGCGAAGGGATGCGAAGGGGAAGTGGCCACAAGGCCACCTATCCAACCAATGCAACCATCCATTGCACACCTCGAACCCAGGGTTCCGAGGGAAGGGAGCAAGAAATACGGGTGTCGTGACAGTTAAGGAAAGGTCAAGTTGCACAGAAACCTTCTCTCATAGTAGATACTTTCCTGAACATCCCACAAAAATGGTTTTTCTTGCCACAGAAGTTCGTCGCCACCCCCGAAAAGAATCACATGAAGCCCCACATGCTACACCCGAAACACCCGAACACCCCCAAGCGGGTCTTCTGAGCGATGCGAACGCCGTCCTGCTGTAGTCCAAGCGATCGGGCCGTTCCTGGCGTGTGCCGGTCGCGGGAATCCCCAAAACTATGCCATGGCACTGGAATTGTAATACCACCACGGAGTTTTGGGGTGGTGATTGGATGGAACATCTCTCATGATTTTCCGGGGTGGCGTCCATGGTCACCACCCGGTCCCTCCGTGGTGCCACGTGGCCGGCCATGTGTCGGTCGGTCTGTGTCGGTCACGTCGGAGCCACCGGAGGAGGTCTTCCAGACTGCTCGAGGACTCGAGTGGCAGGGCACAGGCGTGCAAAATCCTGACCAACCATGATCCGCCAGCCGCTGGCACCAAGGCATTTCTCGAAACAGTGTGATTGAGTTCCACAGGTCAAGAAGAATGTCTAAATACCTGCCCTGAGCCCTTGCTTTCCTGAAAGCCTTTCCAAACAGAAACCAAAAAGGCACCAAAGGCGGTGCTGAGTCGAAAAGGGATCAAACATGTTCGAAGACTATTTAAGGATATTTAAGGACACACTTCAAAACTGGTGAGGTTCTCTTAGATTTGCCCAGGAACTCAACTCAACTCCTTTCGTTTGGGGTGTTGAACGAATCTTTTTGTGTAGTTGCATTATAGATCCAACACTTAGAACTCAGGCGGCGGAACCTTCGCAACCAGGAGTGCTGAACAACGCCAAGTTCCGTCGCGAACACCGTCCTGATTCTGAGGCTGAAGCACCTGCCAGCGGTGCATGCCGATGGTGTGAAACACATCACCGGTGTTGTATGTATTACTGTTCAATAATCAGGTGCACTCCCATCAACAAACATATATCATTGGTTCTTGGAAGACTGAACACATTGTTCCAAACAACAGGGATTGTTCGTCTCTTCTCCAACACCTTTATATTTGGCGTTCGCCTGTGGTCCCCTGAGTCTGTTTGGACCCACCGATCAAGAGTCTTTGAACGGATCTCTGGGACCCTGAGACCGGTTTCGGCGTCCCTGCGCGGCTCCTCCTTTTTCCATCAAAGCATCGGAAACCGCCGGCGTCTCGGCGACGTCTCGGCGAATTTGTTTGCGGGGACGGCAGGGTCTCTTTCATCAGGACGTCTGGTACAGGTCTGACATTCCCTTGATTCTCCGTGTTCCTTCCGGGGGATTGTCGAACATGGCAACTGTCACGTGTTTATCGGATAGGCTTTCTGACTTCCCAGCACTCCCATTGGACATGGTCAGGAGTCAGGTGGTTAGACATACCCATACCCATGAAGCATTAAGTCATATTAAGTCACTTATTCCATTGCTGTGGGCTGAAGAGCTGTTTCGGCAAAAGAAATCATGCTTTCAGGCTCCGCAAAATCTCAAAAACCTGGGGCAAATGGAGTCACTAGTGGACTCACCAGTCACTGGAGACATGATTTTCTCAAGATTCCTCAACCAGTTGGAAGTCCCAAAAAAACGTCCACTGACAGTTGCACACTATACCCTTTAGTCCGATACCCTTCCTCCGTCCTCCAGCAAGTGAGTTGGGTTTTAATTTGGATGTTCGCCTTCATTGTGGCTCAAGCTGCTAGTGAAAGACAACAAGGAAGGACAAACAGTGTGTTTCAGAGCATAAAATAAGAATGGCCAGACAGGTTTGCCTGTTGATTTTAATTTTCACCACTTTGGTTTATTGGATGTCTCCTCATTCTGGGACAGACCGATATGTTTCGTTACAGTTGCAGAAACCTGTCACCCTGGGAACTCATTCTGAGATCCAGTCTAGCATGCCAATGTCTTCCGCTTTGGTAGGATACCCACAACATCGCATGTGGTTCTTTAACTCAGTACTGACAGTTGTAGGCACACACAGTCTGTTTGTGTAATTCACAGGTGAGCTCCATCACTTGGGCGAACGTCGAACGCAGGGCGAAAAAGAATGCTGCAGGTGCGGATCAGCCCGAAACAACATTCCGAAAATCCCTGTGGCAAAACAGCTATGGCTTTGGCACAACCTGCCAAGACACGGCAGAAAAGGGATGGAAAAGGCATGGTATGATGGAGTGGATCCAGGCCACTCTGGAAAAGCCCTGCGATGCAGAGCACAATCGGTCTCAAAGATTCTAAAAGGCGCATCTCTCCCGAAGGTGTTACCTGGGCTGTGTTGCGATTCCCAAGTGCCGGGCTTTGGGAAATGAAGAAAAGCAATCTTGGGGCTTTGGGATTTGAGTCAAGAGTTCTGCGAGGAGATTGTTCCCAAAAGGAGATCCAATTACCTGTTGAACCATAAAACGGAGAAGGCCATCCTGGGGCAAACAGAAACGACATTCCAAACACCTCTAGATATGTTTCCGGATACGCTAGATAGCTCTACTCCAGGATGTAGAGAACATGTGTATTTTATTCCAAGTCGCATCAGATTTGCTGTGTGACCACCATTGTGGCAAGCCTTCGAGCGGAAACAAACTGCACCTCAGCCTTCAAGAGATCAATCACCTAGGCGCAAAGGCAACCAAGACGAAGAATGTGTTTTCTGTTTTACGGCTGCTGGAGTCGGGAGTTAGATGGTTGCGGCACTCAGAGGCAAACAATGATGTGGATCAAACGTGAAGAAGGGCAGCTGGGTAGGATTGAGCTATTTGCTTGCAAACTCTTTTACTGTAGGTGTTAGCTAAACAAAAAAAACACATGAGAAAACCACCATTGGATTGTTCGGATTTCGTAAATACGTGGTGATTTGAACGTCCCCAAGGCTCGATACTTGGAAGCGAGCGGTGCATCGGAATGGACAGCAGGACAAAAACAGGACGTCTGCTTTCTCAGACGTCCCAGCACCATCAAGTCTTGGGAGTCAATCCCGTGTTAGATAGAATCTGGGAAAATCCCACACCTATGCGGAAAAAAAAAAACAGATCATGTTTTGGGATAAGGCTTCATCTTCTCTCTAAATCGTCGTTTTTGAGCAGAAAACCAGGCCCGGCCCCGCGGCCCCCCGGAACCGCCTGAGCGTGGGAACCGCACACGTCCGCCTCGCGCGCCAGATCCAAGGCGGTGCGGCCGCCTTGTGTTCCAGCAAGCCGGGAGCGGTGGGACACTCAGGTCTGAGTCAGTTTCTACACGGTTTCTATATATATATATATATCAACCCTGTTTGGTTACACAAACATCCAATCATCATCTCAACCTGAGAGTTTTGCCTAGGAAAAACTCGCCGTGGCAGGTAGAAAAAGCATGATGTTCCGGACCAGGTAAGCTTTGGCATGCTTGTTGCAATGCTTGTTGCAGTGCTGCAGCATGTTTGTCTACTGGAGGGTAGATCTTTTCAGTTTTGTGTCCCTATCAGAAGGAATGACCTTTGTATATATGCCTATATGTCGTATGTGGGAGAGGAGGCGCTTTCACACCCAGGTGCCTAAGTCTTGAGGTGGCGGCCCCCAGTCCCAGTGCAGCACGGTCGAAACACGCCATGCTGCAGAAGCTGGAACGCTTGAACTGTCAATCTCGCCCAGGAGTCCCTAGTAGCGTCCTTGCTCCTAGTAGCGATGCCAGGGGCCCCTAGTAGCGTCCTTGCTCCTAGAAGGGATGCCAGGAGCCCCTAGTAGCGTTCTTGTTCCTAGTAGTATGGCCAGGAGAGGATCAACCAGGCTCCGCGTGAAGCCCACAGAAAAGCGGGGTTGGCTTTGAGTACCAGGACAATCCTGTCTGGGTGTCCTGGCTGGACTACCCCACGCTACCTATAGGCTTCCATTGGGCACCCCGTAAGGATGGTCCAGGTATGAGTTCCATGATTTTTTTCAAACATCCTGAGTCTTTTAAGTCATGATGCCTCAGAGAAAAGATAATGAAACGACATGTTTTCTCGGTCGCATCAAAGGAACCTGGCCGGAACCGCCCAATGCACGTGGCGTGCCGTCCACACAGGTCCCACCGTCCACTGCGAGCCGTGCTTCGAGAGCTCCGCGCATGGAGATCTGCGCCCGCCCGCAGGAGCACGCGGAGTACAGACAGGTCTCCAGTCTTGGCCTCCGAAAAAAATTCCACGGAGATCACACATAAGAAATCCAGTGAAATGATAATCCAGGATAATGCTCTTATAAGCCACCAGGATTATATTATTCTATTCCAGAGAATTTCATAATTAGAATACAATCCTCTAGTGAATAGAAAAATACTTTTCTCTATAAATAAAAGCCATGAGGATACTCTGAAGGGGATACAATATATGTGTGTTGATATGGGTCAACCCCCTTGTGATGACATTGGTTGCTTGACCCAAGACTAGTCGCGAAGCAACATGAAGTCATGAAGTCGCCCTGGATAGCTATGGTCACAGGCGATCTCGATTGGCTTGAGGTCTTTTGAGAAAGACGTCATCGCTGCCAACAAAAATTGTGCAATTCTATCCTTTCGGGCTCACAAAGTGACACCTCATTCTTGGGTGTTCTTGGTGCATGGTCATGCTGATCATCCTGATCACATACAGAGCACAACTCATCTTGATCACGAAAGCAGCGAAGAAGGCAGGCATCTCTGGCAGGTTGCTTTCTTGGGCACTTGAAAGTGGATAAATAACGTTGAATAACGTTGAATTTTGGAAAGGGATATATATAGAGAGCAAACGATCATCGCAGGCTATATCCATGTATCTTTGGCCCCTTCAGATGAATCCAAGATCAGTAGTCTTGCAAAATCTTGCAAACATGACTCAAAGGAAAACATGTTTGAATCTCGCACAGTTCCTTTTCGCAGCAGCGAATCAGCTCAAGGGCCCTGTTCAGCCGAAACAGCAGCGACGGTGCAGCAACTGTACGCAATACACCCTGGCTACAACAGCTGAAATTCACACCCGTCTTATCTACAGGTGTGTTGCGGGCTTTACAGGTCAAGTTGTACAAAGGCAGCCAAGCAACTCTATTCCCCGTGGGGCCGTAAACCATGCCATTCCATGTCGAATTCTCAAAACAAGTCAGGTGAGACTTCTTCACCTTTCTTCTTGGCTCCCTTCTCGCATGCGCCACTGTTCTCGACATTCACAAGGCCACTTTCCAGTGTCTTGAGGAGGTAGTCCGGCTTCATGCTCTTGGTTAGCGGGTCTGCCAATTGCTTCGATGTCTCAATCCACCTCAGGTGGTCACCATAGGGACTGTAGATCTCTGATGTTTTCTCGCCACTCACAGTCCATACTCCTTGCCTCAATGCAGCAAGTTCTATGCCAAGCCTTTTGTCTTGTACTTTTCTTGGAACTTCTGCCAGTAAATGGTCCGATAAGCTCCTGCAATCCGTGTAGTACACGTGTGCCATTCGCCTCTGGGTTTCTTCATGCCAGTTCTTGAAGTCATCAAGTCGTCCAGTCAACTCACAAATCAGGCGTCGTAGGCGGTCTCCATGTTCGACTGCAGTTTGCAGAGCATATGCTTCTGCTTGCAATGTAGCACGACACACCCTTTTGAGGGTAGTTGAACCAAAGCTGATCAGATGCATTCTGTGACTGCCTTCCTTGAGGCTGCTCGCATTCGTTATGTAGTGAATGCGGCCTTGCTGACTCTTGAAGCCTTCTTCGTTTGCGAAACTTGCGTCGCTAAATGTCACAACTGCTAGATCGCTCCAGTCAATCCAATCACTCTTGAAGGTGATCTGCAGGTCACTTCCTTGAAGTGCCAATTCAACAACCTTGTTGGCATTCTTCAAGTCTTGCACTGTTGCCTTTGCGCTACATGCACGCTGCATCTCATTCACACGGTAACAAAGATCTGGTCTTCCATAACGGGCAACCCAAGCCAAACTACCAACAACGCTCCTGAGGCTTGTCAACTCCTTCTCTGTCACCTTTTCCGACAGCTTCCGGTGCTTGTCGATTTCGATCGGCTTCACTGTTCTGCAGTTTTCACTTGTAGAAATGCTTACGGAGTAGTCCTCATGCTGTACGAACTGACGTCCGCAGTATCGGAACCTTCCCGATTCTGTCTTGCCAATCGTGAACCTTTTGAGGATACCTTCAATTGTCTTCTTGCCTTCGTCAAGGTAGCAATACAACAAGTCGTCGACATGTGTCGCGACCATGCCTATCAACTTTCCCTTGGAATTGTGCAAATAGTACAATGCAGGTGTAATGCGACTGCACTTCAACCCGGCACTGGTGATCTCACCATTCATCCTCAAGTAAAAACCTCTGCCGGCGTCGATCGTGCCATAGATCGGGAGGCGTGCAACCAACATTGCATCCGGTGGAACATCCGGGCTTGGAATTCCACCACGTGGCTGTTTGAGCAACAGCAACCTCGTCATAGGCTGACTTTGAAAATACGCTGAGGAAACATCTGCCGCATACAGGGTCACACGATGGCTTGATGCGAAGCTTGCAATCAACATGTGTCCTTCAGTCTCAGCAGTGGGGCTATCGCAACGAATACCCTGTGAATCACGGCTCACTTGTTCGTGATTTCCACAAGCTACTAACCGAGATCTGTTTTCTGGCCGATGCTCAGGCGTACCTGTCAGATGAGCTTGCTTATCCACATCTACCCATTGCATAGGAATAGGAACATGCCCTTCTTGAAGCAACTCTTCCAATTCCTTGCCTCGAATAGGCATTGCAGCATTGAAGCTCCTGTATTTGCTCCACTCTGCACGGCGTGCATCCAAGATGCGAGCTTGCATCTCGGGAGTGCATCGGTCGTATTGTAGCGTCTTTGCCACCTTGCCAACCTGCGTCTCACTGTTTTCTCCAAAGCGTTGAGCCACGAAGGCTCGAAATTCTGCATCATCCAGTTCAGCGTCGTCAGCAGCGGCCATGGCGATCAACGGGTGTTTTACCCGTGTAAAGATTGTGAAACCTGTCCATGCGCGAGAATCAACATCATCCATGCCCGGCATGGACTCGCTGGTCATTCGACTTCCGTCTTCATAGACTTTTCTGGTTACGCGTCTTCCTCCGAATCCTTCCGGAACATCTCCGTCATGCAGCGGATGGAAGTCATGGAATCTCCTCTTGTTGTGAACACGAATTGCATGGTTCTCAGAGATTCTCCAATGGTCTTCATTGTCAACCAATGCAAGCATGACCTCATCATCACCACCAATGCCTCCGGGGGTCATCGGAACTGCGACTGCGCTTCCACTCGCGCTTGCTGATGATCGGGCAGCCTTGCCCGTCTTATCTTCTGCTTGTGCTTCTCTCTTCTGTCCCTTCTTAGGGCTTGCTTCTTCATCCATCATTCGGACGTACTTCTGCTGTCCCAATGTCACTGCCTCTGGGAAGACTGGGATGTTGTTCAAAATAGAGTAGGCCAAAGATTCACTCTCATTGGCTGATCTAAGTTTTCCGGCAGCACACAAAATAGGAATACCTTCATGTAGCAACCAGATGCCATTATGCGGGTCAATACCAATCACACGCGAAGCAGTGGACCACACGGTTCCACCTTGCTGGGTGTCTCGACGGTAGACCACAAGGTCTCCAACCACAAATGACTTCTTGTTCTGGACTGCAGCATTCCTGGTCAATGCTCTTGCAACACGGGAGCTTGTATCCAAATGAATAAATGCCTTTTGTGCAGCCATACGGGATGCATGACACAAATGATAGCTTGCTGCAGGGTCAAGCTTGTTCTCCAAGATGCCCAAGTTTCCTGCCTCATCCATATCTGTCACAGATCCTGGAATTCTTGGGTTTCTACCCAGGACCCATTGTGCTGGAGAATAGCCTTGGACTCTTTGCATGTGGTTCTTCACGGAAGTGCATTCGTGCAAACATGTTTCAAACGCATTACGACCAACGGCTTCCATGTCGTGGATGGTCTTCCTGAGGATTGCCTTCAAGATACCTTGGTGCCTTTCAACCTTGCCAATGGCTGATGGGGTTTCCAATGGTGCATAGAAGATCTCAACACCGTGCGAAGCGAACAGCTTGGATACCTCACCTCTTGTGGACACCTCTATCCATGATTGCGGCCTTTGGAAAACCTGCCCAACTGATCCATCTGCGAAGGATAGCTTGTGCACAGGCTTCTGACGTTGGCATACCTCCACCTTCTTTGACAACCTCTGACAAATGGAATCCTGTCGAAATGTCCAGCATCGTGAGAATGCTGTACTTGTTCCCTGCATAGTCCTTCATTTCTGTGACGTCAAGGCCAAGCATGGCATTGAACTCATACTGGAAATTACTATTTCCTACCGGATGATCACGGGGACGTGGTGCAGTGTCTTCGCAGGACTGACAACGGACAAGACGTGCAGCTTCGATCAACTCCTTGCTTGCCTTACCTGCCTTTAAAATATTCTTCAAAGTTGACGGTGCGGGATGTCCGAACTGCCGATGCAAGCGACGAATTGCAATGCGAGTTCTCTGGGGAAGAGCACGCCACAATCGTCTCCGTTTCTGTTCCGTCATGTCGGCTCCGGGCAATGCAAGTTGATCTAGCATGAGTTCTTCCTGTTCTCTTGCCGTCAATGGTTTTCCATCATCATGTTTGGTTTCCTGGAACACTCCCTCAATGTCACTGTCCTCGATTTCAGAAATGTCTTCAAGTTCGTCTGCGACAAAACATGTCCGTGCAAAATGCTCCAAATAAGTTTCTTCTGACATGGTGTTCAACATCTCTAGGAGTCTTGCCGATTTTGCGTCTTCGAAACATTTTGGGATCATGTTCTCTCCGCACCAACCTTCCAGCGCCTCCAAGATCTTGGGGCTTTGTGGGCCTGCCAAGGCAAATTCTAGGTCACCACCGAGGCAAATGGAATGTTCAACAGATATCTCGAGAAGTGGTGTGAAAAGAAGGAGGTTGCAACCATACATGTCGACTTCCATGAGCATATCACTCCAAATCCTCCTGGGGTCCGTGTTCTCCAAAAACAGTACAACCAAACCAGGGATCTTATTTGAAATGTGCTTGATGACCTCCTTGCGGGTCTTCACCCAGTTTGCACCTACATCGAATACCCTTGCACTCTGGGGTGCATTGATCAACATGTCATCCTTGACAATGACCATGTGTTGCACACTCAACGGGTTGTTCGAAACT